GTGGTGCGTGGTGGTGTGTGGTGGTGTGTGTGGTGGTGTGTGTGGTGGTGTGTGTGTGGTGTGTGTGTGCGTGTGCGTGTGCGTGTGCGTGTGCGTGTGGTGTGCGTGTGCGTGTGTGTGTGTGTGTGCGTGTGCGTGTGCGTGTGCGTGTGCGTGTGCGTGTGCGTGTGCGTGTGCGTGTGCGTGTGCGTGTGCGTGTGCGTGTGCGTGTGCGTGTGCGTGTGCGTGTGCGTGTGCGTGTGCGTGTGCGTGATCGTGATCGTGATCGTGTGTGTGTGTTTGTGTGTTTGTGTGTTTGTATTTGTGTGTTTGTGTGTATGTATGTGTGTGTGCGCGTGCTTGTGTCATTATCCCTGATGTTTCCCAGGGCTCCCGCTCCAGACATCTTCGTACTTCCTAAGCTCTCTTTCGGCTATTTCAGCGCAGGGTATGCCGGGGCGCACATGATATCATGCAGAGCAGTGGGGAACCCCTCCCCAGTGAGGGAAAGCAGGGATGGAAGAGGAAACGCGATGGTCCATCGTCGCCGTAATGGATTGGACGGATTTTACAATTTAAATGTCCGCTCCACCGACGAAATGGGCGCATCACGTGCGCACTCCAGGTCAGGGTCGCCTATTCGACGCGCAGACGACCTCGCTAATGCGATTCCATGGGGGAGGGAGGAGGAGGAGGAAGAAGAAGAGGGGCAGGAGGAGGAGGAGTGACGCAAGAGGACGAGGAGGAGCAGGAGGAGGAGGAGGAGGAGGAACAGGACAGGAGAAAGGAGGGAGGATGAGGAGGAGGAGCAGGAGGAGGAGGAGGAGGAGGAGGAGGAGGAGGTGGAGGAGGTGGAGGAGGAGGAGGAGGAGGAGGAGGAGGGAGGAGTGGCGCGGGCTGCGGTGGGCTCGAAGCGATGGACCCGACGCCGCGGCCCGGCAGGGAAGCGGACGTGCCCGCGGGCCGGGAGGGGAGAGTGTTGCCCCCCTCTGCCTCCTCCTGGCCGCCCGCCCCCCTCTGCTTGCCCTCGCCCCTTCCGCGCTTCCCGACTGGCCCATGCTCGGAGGGCACCGGCTACCCTCAGATCCTGGCGTTGCAATTTTTCACCACGGGCATTTTCGCCGGGTTTCGGGCCCTGGGGCCCTCTCTGGCCGATCTGGCAGAAAAATGGCGCAGAAAGACAGGGTTTTGTTTAGTTCTCTGGTCGTGGTGTTCAGCGATGTTTCATTTTTTCGCAACGTCGGATCTCAGGGTATATACCTACACGTATCCAGGCCAGGCCGATCCTGGACCGATGATCGGCACATATGCCTTCGTGTCGAAGCCAGGCAGGCTGGCCAGGATTGGCGTAGGTGTATAGCTGGTGCCCTCCTACATGCGCACCGCCCTCACCTGTGGTCCATCGCCTTGCCCCGCCACCCCGATCTGGTGTCGGCTACTGCCGGCCCGAGTCGATCCAATTCCGTTGTTCGGGCGGTCCAATGTTGCCCGATGCTTGCGTGGTGCTGTCGTGCATCTTGGCGCAGCCGATTCGGTTCGATTCCAATCCCTTGCCGATGCGGTCCGATTCGATACACGTTTCGATCCGATGCTGACCGTTCTTGCCACGCTCCGCCAACAGGGCATCTGCCATGGTATCGCGCTGCACCATCGTCCACGCATCCCTCACCAGCCTCGGACCTATCCCTATCCCCAAGATTGACCAAAGGCGGTGACAGTCTTTGGGATGCGCCCTCAGAAACTGAGGCCGTCCTTAGGATCGGCATTGTGATGAGGGATGCCCAGCATGGGGATAGGGATATTCAGCCACGCGCAGAGGGGGGTGGGGGGAGGGGGGAGGGCTTCGTAGAAGCACCCCTGCTTCTCAGAAGCCACGGGCCTTCTCTATAGATGTAAGGCCGGCGCCTTCTAAGAAGCAGCCTCCCTCTAAGAAGCCTTCCCCCCTCCCTCCACCCCCTTGTGCGCGCCGAGGAGGAGGAGGAGGAGGAGGAGGAGGAGGAGGAGGAGGAGGAGGAGGAGGAGGCCGCCAAGATATGCTCCAGGCTGGTAAATCCCTCGCGCCTCTCGATGAAGCTGCTGATTCCGCCGCTCGCTCGAGCTTGCAGCTGCCGGTCGGGCGGGGTGCGCGCCGGGCTCGGGCCCGCACGCCGCCATGGAGAAGCTTCAGCTGGGAGGGCCGGGCTTCGGGCGCCCTGCACTCCTCCCGCCTCCCCAGGCCTGCCTCCTCGTGCTGCCTCCTCCCCTCCCCCCCCCTCGTCTCGGGCGCCCTGGCGCTCCTCCCCCCCCCGTGCCCCCGTCGTCCTGCCTCCTCCTCCTCCTCCTCCTCCCTTCTTCCTCCCCTCCTCCTTTTTGGGTAATGCGTTCCCGAGACGGTCTCTGGGGCTCAGGATGCTAGCTTTCGGCGTAAGCCTCGGAGGCACTCCTGCCCTGAGCTTGATCCCCTCCTCCGAGCCTGGTTTCGATCCCGCAGTTGACCAAGACAAGAGGTTCCTTGGAGTTCTGATCCTGATCCTGATCCCCTCCTCCTGCCACGCCCCTTTCTATCCCTTGGCGTCCTCGTATGCGCACGCTCGCCCCAGAGGGAGTCGGTGCGACGGATCCGGGGGGGGGCAGCCAGAGCTCGGAGAGAGGTGCGGCCGACGAGGAGGCTCGCCGCCCAGCCATGGTGCTGGCGTTGCCCAGAGGGGGCGTCACGTGTCCTGCATGCTTTACATGGGTGCCCCCACCAGGGCTCGTTTCGATTCCTCCGATTCGATTCGATTCGATTTCGATGGTTTCCGATTCCGATTCGTTTCGACTTCGTGTTCCGATTTGGGCTCCGATTTCTTATTGGAGGCACACTAGCCTGCCGATTTCCGCCGATTCGACTTCTCCCGACTCGGCTGCCGATTTCCGCCGATCCGACTCATTTCG